TGTAATCGTTTTAAATTTAAGTTCAACCAACGCTCTGATAAAATATGTCCTTCACGAGGTGAGCTTGCATTATCTGATAAAGAAATTCTTAAGCACTACAATAATGTATACGTTTTCCTTTAAGATAAATGACAATAAAGTGAATATAAAAACTTTGTAAAGCTACTTTTTGTAAATCATTACTACATCGTCGCTTGAGGCTTTACAAACTCGTGGTGGTTATCACGTATAAGTAATCTGTTTCACAAGCTTTTTTAAAACTAACGGATGATTAATGTTACCACATATTTTTCGACGAAAGCGAGAAACTTAGATATCAAGCTGATAGCTCATGATGTCTGGTTACTTCGTCTCATGAATATTCACAATACTAATGGAACTTTGTGACAGAAAATAAAAACGACTTTAAATTTTATGAATAAGAAAATGTTGTAGGTAATAGATGGAATATTGAACAAAGAAATTGTGCGAAGCAAAAGTAGCTACTAGAAAAACTTTTGTGGAATTACAATCATCAAGTTGCTGTTCATCGAAATTGGAGTAGGTACTTATGCTTGAGCTAGAAACTCAATGACAAGAATATCTAACTAGTTCTTTGAACTCTATAGAGACGTGAACTCTCCAACTGAATGACTCTATGACGCGGCGCTCCGAGGATTCTTCTTATATACTCTTAAAAATTGTTTGAGACGTTAGACTCCAGTTGGTCCCAATGAAACAGTCTCGTACGCATATGTTTTCATTATTTATCGTTACTTGCAAGTACTCGTTTGAATTGATACTTATAATTGCATGTATGATAACAACATTAAAACGTGAGCGATCAGTATCGTGTTTCTCACCTACCGAGAATTGTTGTAATATGCGCCCCCGTGCTCAGGTAATGTTGCTCCTTGTTGGAGTACTGTAAGTCAAACAGTAAATTCCAAAGAATAGAATTATAAATTACGATAAATGTGATTTAGAAATACGGATACCTTAAGTTGGATTTTCTTGGTCTGAATACTATGTTAATACTAGTTTTCGCCCGTGACTCCGTCCGTATGGAATTAAAAAAAGAGTGAGTAGCCTACATGTTTTTTCAGACTATACCAACTGTACCAAATTTTGTCGAAATCCGTTCTGCCGTTTAGTTTACAAATCTGTTTATCTAAACTTCCGCATTTATAATATTAGTATGATAGAAAAACCTGCCAGATTGTCACATAAGTGTATTCATCTTGTTGGCAAAATACTTTGTTATTCTATTGTTTACGATTTTTGGATATGTACTTCAAATGTGTTGAGAGTGAGTTTTGTTGCCCAGTTAAACGGTGCAAAATATATGAAATACGGTTTAATAAAATGAAAAAATTGTTTGTGTAATTTTCGCTTTACTAAAACTCTACGTAAATGCATGTTTTGCAATACTTTTCGATCTATTCACGTCCATTTTGATGTCAATTTCTTCACAAATGTCTGCTACAAAACAATTTTTCAAGAGTCGAAACCAAAGCTGATATATTTTTTTTTACGCTAACAATACACAAGTGCTATTGGTCACCTTCAATTTTTAGGCTAGAATTTTTTAGCGTAGTTATAAATAATGAATAATATATTCGTCCTCAGATAAGCATTCCGAGGCCTGTCGCTTCCTTGTCGACGACACATACTATCGAATTTAATTGAACACGTCACCGCTATCTGATATATTTGGATACAATTCCGTTACGCACGATATCACGTGGTACATTCACTTCAGTTTTTCTTAGTCATAGTATTTTCTATTGTTTGATTACATTTATAACTAGCTCTGTTGGTATTATTGTATTTGTACACAGTACAGATAAACCTTTATCGGCATTTGATGCGTTCTGTGAACTGCAAAGGGGGCGGATCACGGCTGATAAATCATTTCCGTAAACCACTGACTATTACACAAATAAGAGATTAATTTTTTAGCGATTTAATGATTCATCATACGTGTTTAAAACTAGAATGTTTTAGTATGTGTAGTCAGTGAACATTTATTAACAACGGGGCCAAACACGAATCTCTAGTTGAGAGAATGTTTGTTAAAACTGGAAGGCTTCGCGAGTGAACTGATCTTACTTAGTTAACTCGGCAGTAAGAGACGCGCCACGGAGCGCAGCGCATGCGCCACCTAACGGCGCCAAAACGTCACATTTGTAAATAACTTTTAAATGTTTTGTTTAAAATCGATTTGTGATATTCGATTAGTGCCAAAGTAAAAATAATCATATTAAAGTTATCGTTAAGTTATTAGTTGTGTTGTGGAAGGACCGGACGCCATTCATCTTGTTTATGTAAGTCCGTGGAAATCTACCTTCTATTACAGATTGTTTAATTGATTCCTCGCGTTGTTACAAAATCGATTTAACATACTCGATGGAGCGTAACCGTGGTGGTGTGAAGCGAATTGATTTATTCTGTTATCGATTAAAAATCCTAATTGATACAAATAAATGTTGAAATTTTTATTGGTAAGAAATAAAGACGTTAGTGTTTGGAGGTCATAGAGTTTCGCTCAGTTAGTAAATATTAAGCCGTTTCCCTGGCACGTGATTCGGTCTTGACCCACTTCATACACAATGCAAACAATCGCACTCCTTGCATCCTTACACACGGACAGGTGCGGTACGTAAACGAATTGTTCTACCTGCATGTTTTATCAAACGCAAGCTGATAAAGGTATTGTTCATTAAATATTTCTACGATGATTAAATTGCTTTATAAAGGTAAAGGGACTTTATGTTACTTCGCGATATTATTGTTTAATTCCAGTTGAAATGCAACTTATGTTGTTACTACTATCACATTTTTTTTTGTGTTTTTAACGCCAAGGGTTTATAGTTCAGCATATTAAAAAGCTTAGCGTCAATGGAAAGTTGTCTCTTCAAGATTCTATCTGTTACAACAACTTAAGTGAAACGATGTTGTTTTTAATGACATAAAAAATGCTTCACCTGATATGGTAACTAATGCACTGTAGATAAAAGTAGTGCAATAGGGAAAGCTATTTCGTATTTTGAAATAACGGTCATGTTTACTTACTGTCCGTTTCCCCTAGCTCTTAATGAAACATATTTTAATTTTCCTCTTATACTTTTGAAATAAACACAAGTTTATAGGATACTTTAGTTTAAACTATTTTGAAAATCATTTAGAATGTTTGTGAAATTAATAACTAGGCTTGTTTGTCAGTTGCACGGAAAGTACAAACATAAGTTTCGTCATAAAGATAACATTGTTCTAAACTTATCTAGGTTACTGAAAATTTCATGTCATCTTCAGGAAATTACGCAAGAATATTTAATAGAGTCTGTAAAACACTTAACTGTATAAACCTGCAATTAGAAATTTAGCGATTCTCAGTTGTTTTAGTATTTCCAGAATTTAATCTTGCTAACTTCTTACTAACATTATAAATGAGAAGCATTGGATGTATGGATGGATGTTTGTTAGAATTTCTAGCCAGAACGACTGAGCAGATCTCGATAACATTTGGCAGAGATATAGAAAATAGTCTAGAAGAACACATACTTATTTTTGTTTTTTAATTCCAAGCGGACGAAGTCGCGGACGAAAGCTAGTATTAGATAAAGGCAATCTTAAACCAAACAAATCATAAACAGAGTTAGTCTAGTTAAAATAGGCTGGCGGATTCCACCGCCATTAACGATAACAGCGATTATAAGAGATCTACAAATACTTAACTGTGCAAATGTTTTTGAACATTACTCATAACATTAAACTGTTATACTGTTAGAGTTTCGTCATTTAGAATTAGATCTTAACTTTAAAGGTACGACTGAAATACAGCAGACGGCAAACATCAGTAGCAGACAGCACGTAGCGTCCCCTAAAATCGTATAATATCTTTACAATAATATTTTAATAACGAACAAATACTGAAACTGAAAAATATCCTAAATACGCAAGCTCCGCTTACAATTTGATTGACTTCATAATTTGTAGGGAATTTGGAGTTTAAGAGTGGTCTTATTATTGAAGATGCTGTGACAAATTTAAATGACGTTTCATTATTCGGTCGTTCGTATGTATGTCCAGCTAAAATATTACTTGCTTAAATATTATATGACTTATGGCCGATTTCACAGTTACGTTTAAATATTGCTTAGTCTGTTACACTAATGAATCACTAGATAACGATAAAGTAAATGGAAACTTCAGAATTCCAGCATAAAGATAGAAATTAAATAACATTGAAACTTCTTTTATTAAAATAATTTGCTATAACATGTAACAGGACGCGCCATCTGTACAAATATAGTATTAATAATGATGCTATTATTGAAGTATTCTAATTATATGTTAGTACGAGTATATCTGTTGTACATGCATTATTTAAATTCAGTATCGTGACGTCGGTAATAAACTGCGTTATAATAAAATACAATAAGTATTACCGATAAAATACTGCGATTAAGAGATACCTATATGGTTGGGTTTTCCATTGATGTGAAATGGTAGCTTGGGGAAATATCACGCACAAGTATAAACAAGGCTTTTTTAGTAGAATATATTTTCTAAGTGAAATATAAAAAACTTGCTTTGAATACTCTTTGTAAATTATATTGTCTTACTTACATCATTTCATGAATAGTTAAAAACAATGCATGATAGAACAATAAAAGATTTCTATTCTCGTTAATGCAATGTTGTAAAATGTTATCTTAATACAAAAAGGCTGTTTCTAAGTAGGTTTATGAGTCACTGTAAAACAGCCAACGGGCGGAAAAAGTAATTAAAAATGATAACACATGCTTACGTCAAAAAAATACATTCGTATAACTTTTTTTTAATTTTAGAATGTAATTACCTAATCATTCAATTACCTGTGGAATAACTTTCACTTTCACTTTATTGAAAACATACCTGATGTAAACTACTAGCCGACCGACTGTCCGCGTAACGGATGGATTTTCAAAAATAAAATCGTAAATACTATTACTTCAGACTAACCTTAAGTCAAATTTGAACCGTTAAATTGTCCATGACTGACAACCCTGGTCCATGTCCAAGTGTTTATTGATTCAAAGTAAAGGGTTTGATATAAAATACAAAGATTATGATTAGAAGCACTGATAAGGAAAGAGATTGGATGGTTCTACTGATAGAATCAAGATAACGATATCGCGGTTACTTTGTTCTTCAACATCTTATAATCTATTGAATAATACCTATAATTAAAGAGCGTCACAAGTACTGCAATACGTGACCTAAGGGTTGTCATGTCGTCAGTCACTGACGACTCAATGATTTTTTTTTGTTTATAATATAAGGTGGCAAACGAGCAAGCGACCACCTGAATCCGCTAAAACGGCGAAGCGATCGCTTCCATCCAATCCACTTTCCCTTCATCATTTCTCATGAGAAAAAGGGTGGGAGGGAAAAGGGACCAACATTGGGCCTCCGGCACCACAATCATCAGACGCGAAACGCGGAATTTCTCCCTCTTGAAGCCTATCTTCTGTGTGATCGTCGTATTACACCAAGCGAGCCGGCCCATTAGTGTGAAGATGTTAAAGCGGGCTCTAACACTGTAAAAATTGCCAGTATTAGACTAGATAGATTTTGACTCGAGGAAATTTATTCTTATAAAGATTTTTCATGAGATTCATGACTTGACTTCAAAGTACAGTTTTCATTATTTCAATACATTACTGTCTTTGTGCTTGTCAATGGTTTAGTTTAGTAAATTAGGTCTAGGAATTTCGTTAATAATGCAGATGGTCAACCTATACCCATGTTAATAAAATCAGGAGAATTACCGTCCAATGTTAAAGTAAGTAGTTTTTGTAATAACGCGGTAATAAGTAGTTATGACTTTGACATTAACCCTGACTTTGACTTGAAATCAATATTGCGAGGATCCGTGAAAGGTTTATTGACGTATTATTTGACTCGTATTCAAGTTCTTGGGTGCGGCGGATTTCATCTATATTAATAATCAGTGTGAAAAATCTAATTGATTAGATGGCGACTACCGTTATGAACACGAATACAAGCTGTCATTGCAATATCACTGATAACGCTTCCAAAATCGGGACTGTATATTTATCTATAGATCTTAATTGCTTTACGTCATACAATATTCGCTTTTCTTGGAATTGTTTTTGTCGATGAAAATATAATTCCGATTTGCATTCGATATTATATGCCACTCGAAACTTCGATTTTGCTTTTTGGTTAAGAATAATGAGCTTTAAAGCTACAGGCTACAACGGCTTATACGTTACACCACAGATAACGTACGTACTTGCCATAAAAATATCTATCATGGTCTTTTTAGATGTGTTTCTTCGAGGATTTAATTTACTTTCGAAGACACTTTAAGGTTACAAAACGTAAAAGGAACTGTAACAAAACATTAATCCATTCCTTTTATATTTTCAGGTATAATTCGGTCTACAATTAAATCAACAAATATCATTAATGGATCCAAATGTAGAAAAAAGTGTAAACTGGGGAGATATGGGTAAGATATTTAGAGATTTTTTTTACTAATTCTACCACAAATACAAAAAAATTGACTTAGTAACAAAAAAGTTTTGATTTTATTGTTACTGTTAAAAGAATTTCAGATACGTTTAAAGTTTTTTGAACCAAAAAATGATACTATGGTTTGCTACTTTAAAATGACAAGAAAACATACTTATATAAAATTGAAAAGTGATTCAATTATTCTCATTCTTACGTAATTTTATTTCGGTAATATTAAATGAATCTTTTTTATCTCTTTCATACTCTCCACTTAACTTTTTTATGTTTTTTTTTTCTAGAAACTACAGCCGACCCTAATGTATCCATATCAACAATGAATGAGGACGTACCAACGCTGACCCTGGCCACCATATTGGGCGTCACCGTGGTCATAATCATCGCTATAGCCGTCGTCTTCGTCTTGGGAGTACTCATTGACTGTAGACAACAGTAAGTGCTTTAACAATTCCCTAACTGCATTACTTAGCAAATATAGAAAAAAAAACGCTTTATCGATTACCGACTAATTGGACAAAAAAAGCTTGGCTTTACTGCATGTAATTTGCATTTTCTATTTTTTCAATTATTTCGTTGTGACTAATTTTTATTTTGTTTTCTATAAATCCTAGGATAGTTTTATAACAATTATTATTTATCTATTGATATAGAAAAAAATTATATCATTTGATTAGGCTTTGATTAAAATGTTCCTATTATTAGAATGATATTAAAACCATGATTAAATAAATTTATTTCTTGCGGCATTTAATTTAAAACACGATGTAAATATGACGATATGACGTATGATGATGAGTGATGTTTTGTTTCGTATGTTTAGGAGGATATTGGATAAGAAGATCGGTGAGGTGAGAAGGAGGAAGAATCTCCGGAGAGCGAAGTCACATCCACAAGCAGATGTAGTCAGTATAGTTAATGATATGGAGGGTCCCGGTCTTAGCGCACCGCCCTTGGAAGCCTTGCGTAATATACCGTAATACCCAAATGTTAATGTACCAAAATTATTTGTTAATCTGAATATCTATATGAAATGTTGTAGTTTTGTAAGATCTGTTTGTTTAGTTAGCAAATTATATAATTATGCAAATTTAGAACGATATAATATGGAATTATGAAAGGGCTTGTTGATTATTATTGAAAATAAGCATTATTGACGTTATGAATAATTATTATAATAAACGTATAAGTAAATGACTATTTTAATAAACGTATAATCGTTGAAAAGTACTTAATTATTACACTTAGTAGCAACGTAATTGTGTAAGGTGATAATGTTCAAGTAAATAGACTGCTTTAGGCCTATCTATAGTTTTGCATGTTACTCGTATAAAAGTATTACAGTTTACAAATGTAAAGAATCAATGTTTTATAATATTTAAAATTAAATATTTTTATTGTTTACAATTATTTCTCTCATCATTTCTTGCATTTTAAATTACGTTTAAAAAATAAATAAAAAAATTGAAAAATTGAATAAGACGAATTGAGTACCTCTTTCTTTTGGAAAGTCGGTCAATAAACATGATATGTTTCCTACTTACAAATAAACAAGACAATGTAAATAAAAAAGTTTAAAAATAATGTACATTTATCTACGTTTTTTAAATCAAAGAATGTTAGTAACACAGAAAAGGCGAGCAAATATTTTATTTAAACTGTTATAAACTACGATACAAACAGTGGATTTGAAAGGCTGTCAGCAATCGAGAAGTAATTTGGAGGTTGCACAAACCGTCAGTTGGTGAACGGCGTAAATAACTCTTATTTCCTAATTTTTTACCTAGTTGTTTACAATAATACTATTGTACAAAAGTACTCTTGGACAAAAGAATATTACAAAATGATTAAGGGAAATTTATGGAAATAATGTTTCATGTATCAATGGATGACTATTGAATAGCAAACTATTGTATAAGTTTGAATTAATTGTTTAAAATTCATAAAAGCGATATTTTTCCTTCACACAGCTATGTTTTATTTTCATTTGTCAAAAAATCTTACTATTGTTTTATTTTTTGCGTTAATCACATCTTTCTTGTGATTTTTTTTTGTTTTAAATGCGATTTTTGCATATAACTATAAGTTATTCAATTACAACGAAGAATGTAATAAAAATGGTAAAACGCGTTGCAATCGATACGATGCGCATAAAAATTCCTTCTCATTACATAAAATGCGCATTCGATTACGTGACGAATCAGGAAAAACGTGTCTCTGATCTTGGCCGAATGTGCTGGAAATAGTAATTGCATTTTTGTACCAATGTAAACTTTTTGAACATAGGTCAAATTATAAATAATTACATTGTGAAAAGAATACGAAACGATGTTGCACAAATCGATCGAACTGTTTACGCTACATTGGTATATTATGATCACAACAAAATGCCACATACAGACTTGCAAAAAACATTACCCTGCGATCAATCGCCAAGAAGGCATGGTCATCATTTACTTGTGTAATATTCTTTATTTTATGAAAAATGGCATCGTACTTTGCACGTGTAGGAATTTAAATTCCTTTGTTATTTATCAAAAGAATATTATCATCTAAAATCATACAAATTGATTCAAAGAACACCGCTTACATCAATTGATTGATCGCGTTGATTTTAATCTGAATAGGTAGCGTAATGTTCACATTGACATCCTGTTTAGTAAAGTTTAGACAGACAATTTTTACATACTTGAATGAAGTTATTATAACCAATTTCAAAAACCAGGAGGTTCTTGTTTCGTCTGGATGTTTTTTATTTATTTGTTACTTCATAACACAGGAGTGTCGAGAGGTCCGATAAAGTCTTCATGGCCAGGTGGTCCGATAAGGTATTCATAACCAGGAGGTCCGATAGTCTTCATAAGCAGGAGGTCTGATAATGTCTTCATAATCAGGAGGTCCGATAAAGTCATCGTAACCAGGAGGTCGGATAAAGTCTTCATAACCAGGAGGTCCGATAAAGTCTTCTTAACCAGGAGGTCCGATAAAATCAGTGTGTGCTCTTTCTTGTTTTATCCCTCAAGTTCAGTGTCAGGTTTTTTTATATGACGTCATACAGTTCGTCAGCGATATCATAATATCTGCCTATTTATTAATAACTGATGATACCACAAACACATTGAATCATGTTCCTGATACAATTCAACAAAGATTTTGATACTAAGCATTTAAAGTTACGTGCATCCAACCACGTTTCGAACAGAGATAACAAAATGCACTTCATGTTTTTAGTTAATTTGCACTAATAGTTATTAATAACATTGTTTTGTCACGTATTACCAAGTCTATGATGTCATATGATTACGATAAAGTTTTTGATTCATCAAACGGTGATAATCAGCTACAGTTCGTCCTTTAGCTTCTAACATTTTATTAGGCGTATTGTTGGACGTTATTTAAAAATAAATAGATTTATTGACTAAGACAATCTATATGCCATTGGAAATATTCTAATTATGCGTCTCATCTTAAGCGTGATTTATATGAATTGTTACACAAAGGACATTGGACATTGTGCAAGAAAGTAATGAGATTAAATGTAGACAAAAGTAGAGAGTATGAATTGAGTGTGTGATGGAAAATATGCGTAAAGGAGTAAATTCAGATTTGCTGACAATAAGAAATGTATAGAAGAGTAGTTGTGCCGACCCTTCGAAGGGAAAAATGCAGACACATGATTATTATACTAAGAAAAATATAATTATAATTGCTAAGTAATACTCGATGTTGTAAGATTTAAAACTATGGGCACTTATTTCTTTACTTTTTAAGTTAAAATATTTTTACAAAATATGGTGTTACAAAGTATCGTCTAGAAACAATTATGTTACGTAAGAACTGATTTTATCGACATAAATGATTACTTATAAAGATCGGAACGATATCTAATTTCACGCCTACAAGATTGAGGTGACTCCTTCGATCACAATTGGACCATGCATTTACTTTCATGCATAACCAATTATCCAGTATGATTATATAAGAAAGAAATGAGCAGTTTGTAGTGCAGTTTAAATGCATTTTTATGACCAGCGGTGGTCACAAAAGTCCATCATCGAAGTGCAGTCACTGTAGTTTAGTTAACGTAGATTTATAGAGAAAATTGCAGTTGTAATCAATTCGCTGCGTTGATTATCAAAACATTAATCACCGCACATTGATAACGCTAATCAGTATGAATTGTATGTGAGCGAACATTTTTCCAGTTCTAGTTGGGATCTCGACACAAACATACACGGACAGTTTATCATAGTAAATTGATTAGTTTTTAATTACACATTTCGTTGAAGTAGGTGCTCACCGGTAGGACGTAGAATTTCTAATAGTTAAAACGTGTGATACAATGAACTGATATATTTAAGTGTTTTATTTGTAAATATCTTGTGCAATGGGAAATACTAAATCAAAGAAAGTTCAAAAAGAACCTGACAAGTTTTTCGAACGGGAAAGATGGAAGGAGCAGAAGAGAGAAGAAAAGAAGAAGAAATACGTGAACCCTTCGAATAAACGGATAGGTGTGAAAGAGGCACCGTTAAGCCCTGCAAGTGCCTTGACTGCGCCCGCGCCGGTCCCGCCGCCGGCGCCTGCGCCCGCCAACATCCGTTCTTATGACGACGAGGCGATAGACCGCATGCGCCAACAGTTACACAACGACTCGGATGCTTTTCTTCTAAACAACATTCTAATGTGTGTTCAGTTCTTTGAGAACTATGAGAGGTGAGCATTATGTTGTAATTATTTTATTTAACGACTAACAACATGCCCCAGATTCCTTAAGGTCAAATAAACCAAACGGTTTATCCTAATCTTGGTTAGATTTGAAAGAATTTCGAAATACGAAAATAGGTCCAGTTGTTTTTAAAATGAACTATCTCAAACAATTGAGTTATTAACGTGTTTGAAACTAATATAATTGAGTTGAAAGTTGGTTTTATTTTAACTGAAGACCTGAAGATTGATCTTATGATCAATGTCTATACACCAAAGGTTATTATTTCAAAGTATATGCCAAAATAAACCTGAATGTTTTTCCTTATTGTTTGTTAATATCATTCCATTTTTCAATGTCGTGTTCTTGCAATTACGATAATTTAGTAGGAAGTGTTATCAAAAATACATATTTTTTGGAATAATCAGCTGTTATTTTGTAATTTACCTTGATATCGCTAAGTACACTGGCTTAATATAATAAGCTTAATATTAGCGTGGAGTAGACAAACGTTTGTAATGCTTTATTTATTGTGTTCTTAGGATTAAATGAGATTATTGGAAAATCAATGCGGCGGTTTAGGATTAGAGCGGCTTTTTCGAGGAAAACTTATTGACAAGTTTCATATCATGTAATCTATGAAATTGCGTTGCGATATTTCATATTAGGTGATTATTACGTTATTGTACATTTTCCTTGAAATTTTATTTACTAACGGTATTGCAAGTAATTCTTGAATATTCCTATGTATATTATTTCTATAATATTTCTGTAATTATGAAATCCTATACGTTTTTTGTTAATTTTATTATTCATAGCAATTATGGTACAAAATGAATGCTACAAAGCATTACAATCTTAGAAAATATATCAATTATATAAGTTGACACAATATAAATGTTTGTTGACTTCTAAAATAGACGGAATTTATTATTTTAATCTATAGCCATTTGATAAAAATAGTTAAATACTCAGCCTAAGAGATAAACAAATGTTTACTATGTTCAAGACTATTGGTGATTAAATTTTATTTGAATGGAGATTGGATTATTAAAATTAAAAAAATTGTAAGCATTAAAGATACCTAAATCATACTAATATTATAAATGAGTTTAGATGTTTGGATGGATGTTTGTTAGAGTCTGTAGCGTAAACGTCTAGGCGAATTTCGATTAAATTTGCTATAGATGTAGAGGTTAGTCGGGAAGGATACGAAAGCTACTGACCTATATTTTTTTAAATTCCACATGGACGGAGTCGCGGTGCAAAGCTAGTAAATAGTAAAAGTAATTAATATATATGTTCAAAATTAGATTTCAAAGGCTCAATGTATTCAAAATTTAGTATAACTTACGTAGTTATGACATTGAATTGTGTCTAATCATTTGATAGCCAATAATATTTTAATCGAAAGAAATCGGGACTTTTTTTCATAATATGATATATTTATTGCATTTCTCTTAATTTAATGCGGATATAGATATGTGGTTTTTATTTTATTAATATGCAAGTAAACAGATTAGAGTTATCTTTGAAGAAAATTTAAATTAAGTATAACTGCACTTTGTACTATTGTAAATACTTAATAAATATTTTAAATGTAAGATCAAAGAAATGAATAACAACGAGTTTGATTCTATTGGAGTGTACATTAAAAAAAAACTATAATTATTTAAATCGAGAAAATCCTTTCTACTGTTCGTTAATCAAATCCATAATATTTTGTAAGTTTGTTAAAGCTTTCCGCGTAAAATAAAATCTAACCTACATAAACGAGGAAAAATATTTCAAACAAATGAAGATTTTCTTGCAATAAGCACACGTCACAGATTATTTTCTTTACAAAGAACATTCCGACTAATAAATGGAATTCAATAAATACGATAAAGGATAAAGTCATTATCAAAGATAAAGTTTCAAGAACCTATTCAATTAGATATTGTTATCGAGCATGCCACGCTAGCGGAGATTTCAGTTTGATTTTATAAATCACGTATTCATTTTAGAATGGATTTTAATTTTTATTACGTGGCGTAATTAAGTCTACAAATTAAAATGAATGTGGGAGGCCACTTTTCAAGAACATAGACAAAATTTAACAACGTCGTCAACACTACATATTTTAATGTTTTTGACCTTCTAGAACGTTTGATTAATTTTTTATGTCTATTTCAATGTTCCAGGGAAGTTTATCACGTCAAAAACAACCCAATTAATGAGCGAGAGCATACAATGGACGAGGAAATGGTGCGTAGACACAAACATGTGTTCTTCGCGGATCGTCTCCAGGAATGCGTTCAAGAGCACATTAGTTACCAAAGAAGAAGAGATCACAGTGAACCTCTGATAGCGCCCAGGCTGTTCATTATTTATGATAATGTTGAAGCTAGCGAGCCGGGGGACACTTCGGATTACTGCGCGGTTTTGGATGCACCTTTTTATAAGCTTCGCATTGAAGATTGCAAGGAATCAGGTAATAATTGTATTACAATCAAGGAAAAACAAATCAAAGTCTAAGTTTTCAATGTTTCTTCATTTACATTTTCTTATCGTTTCAGGATTCGTTAAACTCAAGAAACTAGAAGTACTAGAAAGTAGTCTCTCCAAAGAAAATGAAGCAATGCAACAACAGCAAAACCATTCAGATACATGCAGCATTTACACCGACTCGGAAAAAGAATCAAACGATTCTGACGATTCCCCTTACGTAAGTAAAGGCGAAGTTTTGTTGCAAAATATAAAGCTCAAGATAAATGAAGTACAAGGAGATGGTTATCAAATAAAACCAGATAACTTAAACTTACATATGAACGCACAGGAAATAACAGGAAGGCGTCCCAGCGGACCAATGAAACAAGTTAGCGTGCAAGTCCAAAAGAATAACATTTCAAACATAGATTTGATTAGGAAAGGTACGTCAAGATTACCAGAAAATGAAATTTATAATGAGGACCTAAGTACTATTGAGGATATAGACAATAATAGGCCTAGAAAATCAATTTTGAAAAATGGCAGAAGAGGAAGCGATACTAACAATGATCTCAAAAGTAAAACTCGCTTTGGCGATAATCGGGCTATGTCAGCAGATAACGTAGCAGCCGATGACACTGAGACTTCGGGCTACCGATCTAATTCTAGCAGTCGACATAATGAATCAAGTGAAACGGATTCCGATTACGGTTATTCAACAATAACGGAATCTACTACACCTAAAAAGGTGGAACTAAGTTTGCAACCGAAATTTACTACTTCTGGAGTTCTACCCGAGGAATGCTGGATTTCAGTAGATTTGCGAACACTCGATTGGAGTGATGAAGAAGATGAAGTTGCTACGAATTCATCTAGGCTATCCTTAAGTAGAAATTTGTTTGAAACACATCATTACCTAAGTTCGGTTAACTTTATGAATAATTTTGTTGATAACTTTATTGTCAGTTTAGGCTCAGGTCTTGGGTTCTCACAGGAAGCCATTAATAACGCTTTGACGCAAGGAGCAAGTATATATTGTGATGTTGCTAAAAACGGTTCTAAGCTGAGTTACGAAGTATTTCCAGCTCTGTTAGCGGCTTGGCCAAACGCAGCAAATCAATGGATCATACGGGAAAGAAAAATAATTCAAAATCCCCGAACTAATTTCAGCTACCAATGGCCAACTAAATATATGGTCCGAAAGGCAATAGGATTCGGATGTTTGCTTGTGCCGATTGGATTTAGACCGAAAAGAGGAGTCAATCCCGACCAAAAGTTGCAATGGAGAATTACATTTCCAGCGGCCGAACGTTATTTAGAAAGTTGTTTGGCTCATTCACACATGCGGTGTTATTTATTTGCACTTGCCTTACATAAAACTTTTATAGAGAACGAGACCTCTAAAATAGGAATAGATGCAAACCATATCAAAAACCATCTATTTTGGCAATGCGAAGATAATTACGCCAAATGGCCCGAAGATAGACTTGGAGAGTCGTTGAGGTTATTTTTACGCAGTTTCTATGTTCATTTTGGACAATCCAGATTTCCAAATTACTTTATCGAAAACTGTAATGACTTTAAAAGCATCCCGAAACCTTTATTACTGAAGTCGCAAAGAAAATTAGCAGATATATTGGAATCTCCCGTTATGCATTTGCTCAATGCGCTTGATAAACTAAGATATAATAAAAAGGAGTTTTATCCAACGTTTAATGTGCGCCGACTTTACGAAATTTTAACTTGCAAAAATCCTTTGCATATTTTAAATCCAAATATACCTGAAACAATTCCTCATTACAATGACAGTTCAGACAGTGACGACGATCACAGCAATTTTTGGGACAAAGCTAAAGCGCATGATAAACATTATCAATGGAAGAAGGAACGACAGCGGCAACTGAAAGAAAGGCGGAAGGCAAATGTAAATAACAAAAAGAGAAGTGGAAATAAAGACGAACGAGAAATAAACAAAAGCGTAAGTAGATTACTTTTTTTGATAAGAATTAATTGGCTACATGGCTGTATCAGCTTATAATTGTCTTTTAATTTCCTAACGAAAAGTGGTTGCTAGTAAATCTTACAAAGTTAATTATCATAATAAACTGCGTAATGTTATTTTTTAATTTTAGATTTTGTTCTTTTGCAGATAATACTGCCAGCTAAAATGCAGCCCGAACGTCGACGTCTAGTTCTAGAGTTCTTCATTCCACATTTTATTGCGATGGCGCGCTCCAGTGAGAAATTCGAAGCGATAAAACAAGCTGTAATTTATTTGGAACAAGCTCAAAGACTTTGTCGTTTGCTGTTGGAAGAACCAGCTGGAGATGTTACGGCTAATGAATATCTTGATGTGATTCGAGAAAAGTTAATAGATTGTCAGAGAAAATTAGCAAAACAGGTTGGCTACAAGCTACCACCACGAGTCGAGAGTTACTCTGACAGATCCAATAATTCACATTTAATTCGTAAACATCGACCTAAATATGAACACATGATCAATCAAGATTCACCGTGTGATAATCCCAGTATTGCTCCTTTCACTTTTGTTGATGTTCATGTTGAAAATGGAAAAAATAAGGATGTCAAGAAATTAAAGGTTGCTGTAGATCCTGAGGAATCTAAATTATGATTGGAATTATAAGTCGTTAAAATTTAATGTACATAAGTCTCTGTATATAATCTGTAATTATTATTTTCTATATTTATAAAAAATTGATATAATATTTTTAAAAAGTTGAAAGTTTGGACCTTATTTATGACTGGTTAAAAATATCGCTTTAATATTGAGGTTTACAATTTCAAGAATCTCGTTTTTATGTTTAAGTAATTGTTGGTAAAATAATACTTTAAAAGTTAAATATTCATTAAAATAAAATTAAGGAAAACATGTGACAAAATTTATTTCTTTTGATATACTCTCATTAACAATTTCATTTAAAGAATTATTTCTTAAATTAAAGTAACAAATTTAGTTTTTAGAAAAATGTTGTACATTTACACTGTAGGAATACTTTGCTTAGTTATTTAATCTGTTTGTGGAATGTTAAATAAGTGGATTCACGCCACCGACCATTGAAAGTAGTGCCATTCGCACGTACATGCCATACTCAGCTTGTCGGAAGTATGCGGCGCGAGGGTCGGAATCGAATTCCGCAGATATTTCATCGACTCTTGGCAAAGGATGCATCACAATCATTCGTCTGCGGGCTCGTGTCATGAGCTGTGGTGTTACAACTAACAATCCACGCATCTGTAAACAATAATTTAGTAATGTAAATCCATTTTGTTTTAAGATCTTTGTTACCCATTTGTATTTATTTGTTCTGTCGTTTAAGTGTACGTAGTCTATACTTAAATAATATTTATATTTATTTCGATAGATAAATTAAATACGTTAATATCACGAATGAAAATCCTGAATACCGATTAAATGATTAAATCATTTTAAAGACGAGATAGTGATTTTTACCTTTTCATATTCCTCTTGGCTGTCGAATCTTTCACGTTGAATTCTGGTCATGTAAAGAACATGAGTGTCACCTAAGACATCCTCTAATCTTTCATACACTTTTTGTGGAATACCTTTATATGCCACATAATCCATTATATGTTTAGGCATTCCGAGTCCCGGTGGACTTACATACTGCAGCTGAACTTGATACAATGTGAGTAATCTTGCCAGGGAATGGACTGTACGACCATTCTTAAGATCTCCAACCATTGTTATAGTAAGGCCGTTGACTGTTCCGATTTCTTCTCTTATCGTAAAAACGTCTAGCAGCGCTTGAGTAGGATGTTCTCCGACGCCATCTCCAGCATTGATGATTGGTTTGCGGCAATGTCTCGAGGCGCGCTGAAACAACAATAACGTAAAAACTAATAGACCAAAAAAATAAAACATTAACAGGTGTGTATTAAATAGAAAACATACCGTTACAGCTCCCGGTTCTGGATGTCTCAATACAACAATATCAGAATAACTAGCCATTACTGCAACACTGTCTTCCAAGGTTTCACCTTTTTTGGCTGAGGAGCTTGTAGCGTCAGTATGTATGACAGAGCCCCCGAGTCTCTGCATCGCGGCTGCGAAACTGCAACTAGTTCGCGTGCTCACTTCATAGAATATAGACGACATCACTTTTCCTCGTAATATGTCATCCAAGTAACGTCCTTTACTGACGCTGGTTTTCATAAATTGAGCGAGGTTGAAAATATCGTTCAGCGTTTCTTTAGTGAAGGTATCGACAGTTAAAATACTTTTACCGAACAGATCACTCTTTTGACGATGTGACAATGTCTGAGTGGTGTTACCATACGATGAACTGTCACACCTTTGCCTCATTGTAGGTTGAGGAGGTAGTGGGGACATGCTCCTTAGGCCGGTTGCATCGTTAAAGTGTACGTTTAATTTACCCGGACCATCGGGTTTGCTTGGCTCTACTTGATCTAGATCAAAATCGCTCAATCGACTCAACTCTATAGACACTTGGTGATCTAGGGCAGAGTTCGGTCGACTTAACTCTTTCTCCGCTTTTTCGACAGCATATGTGGCGAACGTTTGTTTTTTTGGTGTTGGCCAATCGCGTACGTTCTGCCCGAATCCCGGTGGCACAAGGATTTGACCTTCCACATAAGCTATTTCCCCGCGTAAAGTTACACGATGAATCGCCCCACAAACCTTCATTCCTGCGAATGGTGTCCATTTGGATTTTGAAAATTCCATTGCATTCGGAATAGTCCATTCGTAGTCCATGTCGACTTCTACGTAAGTGTTAGGTTGCTCAGGTAAGTTGAAAATTTTACGCGGATTTCGGTGAAATTTATTAATAATGTCTTCGATCGTTAGCCGTCCTTCGTGCACGGCATTAAGTAACAATGGTAAAATTGTTTCAAGGCCTGGAAAGCCCGGAGGAGGTTTCTCTGAGTTTTTCTCTTCAACGGTATGCGGAGCATGATCGGTAGCAAAAACGTCAATAATGTCCATATTTTTCCATAATTCAGCTTGGTCATCAGGACCGCATAGAACAGGTCGGACTTCAGCGCGGCCCGAACCGATGTCATCTATGTTATCTGTGCTTAAAAACAAATGATGTGGACACACTTCACACGTCACTTTTAGTCCCCCCTTCTTCGCCGCCCTGATGATAGATATTTCTTCTTTTCGGGCGACGTGACATATATGAACAGGACGATCGAGCAACGAAGCCATTAATATAACTGCACCTGTTTTTTCACGTTCGGCGTGAACGCAAATCGGAATTTTCTTCGGCCAATTTTGTAGATGCCGTTGCCAAATTGTCATATCGTCAAGTTGGAGAGTAGTAAATGTTTGATTGAGATACATTTTTAATGTTGAGGCTTGTGAAGCTAACTCACAAGCAGTGTCGTAGTTGGTAGACGATGCGCCTACGAACAGAGCATAGTCACAGCGGGCGCTTACTCTTGCCAGAGCGGACACATACTCGAATGCTTGGCGATCGACCACAGGTGGATTTGTGTTGGGCATTGCACATATCATAGTCACCCCTCCCGCAAGGGCAGCGGCAGTACAAGATGCGAAATCTTCTTTGTAAGTAGCTCCAGGTTCACGAACATGGACGTGGACATCAATGAAACCGGGTAATTTAATGATATTGCGTGAAGTCATACAATCTGTATGCGTTTTCATTAAAGGCGCTCCACCGCATTGTAACATAGCCTATAATTGAAAATTATATGGTCAATTTAGGAAAATCAAAAAACTAAAGAAACATTATTTTACAAATAAAACAAAAGGAAATACCTGAACCAGTAGTTTAGCACATTTAACATCAGTGACTAATGGAACAGCGTAGTCGACAGCGAGCCGACGAGTCCGGTAGCCGTGTGTGGTGAACGAAGAGACACGGCGCGCACCTCCCCGCATCGGTAGGTTGATAACAAGATCCAATTGGCGTCGCGCCATGAAGTCGGCGAGATGCATCAGTTCACCGTCAGATCTGTCATCGTCTGGATCGCCGATGTGGTCAAATGTCCATTGGACACTCTCAACCTAAACCACATTTATTCAATTATTTAATAAACATTTTTTATGCACAACACGCTTTCACTGTAAATCGGTGGTAGAATATTAATTAAATTATAGTTTACCTCCACACCGTGTTCTGCGTAAAAGTCTCCAGTTCCCATGCTCGCGTACAATTTATAACCCATCTTGTGTAAAATTTGAACGCTTGGCAGTAATTCCATTTTATGCTAAAATTAAATGAAAAATATTTAATACTAAAGTAATGCGGTAAAATACATACAATCGCGATAACATTTTACATAAATAGGATTATTCTCACCTTAAATGTTCCTACAGAGAGTAATATTGCTTTTTTAGGTATTCTGAAACCTGTGCTCATGAGAGATTTTAAATAAGCTTCGTATCGGTTCTCACCGAAACATGCAACTTCTCCTGTTGACGCCATCTCTACGCCCAGAGTCACGTCTGCTCCAGATAGTCTTGAGAATGAAAATTGCGGTACCTTAACGCCCACTTTTCCACAACCAGCCATAACATTTACTGGCTCCACCGGGATACCAAGAATTACTTTAGTTGCCATTGCAACAAAATCGTGATCAAGCGTTTTCGAAACAAACGGGAAAGATCTAGACACTCTCACATTACATTCAATAACTTTCAATTCATTGTCCTTTGCAATAAGCTGCATGTTAAACGGCCCCGTAACGTCTAAAGTTTCTGCTATTATTCTTGCAATTTCCTTAATTTTGTCTAACGTTTCATTGTTTATATCTTGTGGCGGTGTTACCAATGTTGCGTCACCAGAGTGGACGCCAGCATTTTCAACGTGTTCTGATACAGCCATACAAAGAATCGTTCCATCTGCCGCGACAACATCTACGTCAATTTCTTTTGCATCCATAATAAATTTAGAAATAACAACGGGGTAGTCCTTACTTACTTTACTTGCCGATTTTAAATATACCTCTAAATCTTGATTGGAATGTGCAACGTTCATAGCAGCACCGCTAAGAACGTATGATGGACGTACTAAGCATGGAAAACCTACTTCCTCACAAAATGCTTTTGCCGACTCAAGATCAGTAAGTTCTTTCCATCTCGGTTGGAGTATTCCTTTACGATCCAACATACGTGAAAATTTAAATCTGTTTTCTGCATTATCAATCATGTCAGGTGACGTGCCTAAAATTACCGCTTGTTGTCTGTGTAAATCCATTGCAATATTATTTGGTAATTGTCCACCCATACAAAGTATAACTCCATCTGGTTTTTCAAGCTTATAAATGTCCATGACAACCTCGAAAGATATTTCTTCAAAATATAATCTATCACTCATGTCATAATCAGTACTAACAGTTTCTGGATTATAATTTATCATTATAGTTTTCTTATCTTGATTTTTCAATTCTCTGAGACAACCAACAGCACACCAATCGAATTCCACAGAACTTCCAATTCTGTAAACACCCGATCCTAGAACCATAACATGCTCACCGGGGAAATCCAAATCGTGTGTTGTTCCATTGTATGTTAGATAAAGATAATTTGTGGATGCCGGCCATTCGGCTGCAACAGTATCGATTCTTTTTACGAATGGAGTTATATTATATTCTTCTCGAAGTTTTCTGATCGCTAATTCAGTACTTTTAACAGCGGCTGCGATTTGTTTATCTGAAAATCCAATTTGTTTTGCTGTCCTTAAATTGCTGGATGATATGGTATTAGGAGGAGTTGCTTCGAGGCTTTTGTAATAATCGATGATATTTTTAAATTTCCCTAAGAACCAACGGTCAATTTTTGTGAGCTCATAAAGTTTATCCAACGTGTACCCTTGTTTGAGTGCAGCAGCTAATACGAACATACGTTTATCAGTGGGTTCTCTTAACTCATCTTCATTGACTTTTTTGATGTTGGGATCAAAACCGTTAACATTTTCATCTACCATACGTAAGGCTTTCTGAAAGGCTTCTTCAAAATTTCTTCCAATAGACATCACCTCTCCTACACTTTTCATGGAACTTCCAATTTTGGTGCTCACTCTGTTGAATTTTGCCAGATCCCATCTAGGTATTTTAACAACACAATAATCTAAACTCGGTTCAAAACAAGCTGTAGTAACACCTGTTACCGAATTTTTAATCTCAGGTAAAGAGATACCCAGTGCTAGTTTGGCTGCAACATATGCGAGTGGGTACCCTGTCGCTTTACTCGCTAGCGCTGAACTTCTGGATAATCTAGCATTTACTTCTATGATATAAAATTCTTCTGAGTTCGGATTTAGAGCGTACTGTATATTACACTCTCCAACAATGCCGAAATGTCGAATAACTTTTAATGCTGTATTACGTAACATATAGTACTCTCTGTTCGATAAAGTTTGACTAGGTGCCACGACGATGGATTCACCTGTGTGTATTCCTAGAGGATCTACATTTTCCATATTACAAACAGTTATGCAGTTATCGTAGGCATCTCTGACGACTTCATACTCAACTTCTTTCCATCCTTTTAGAGATTTATCAATGATCAATTGCTCCGAATGTGAAAGAGCATGATGGGCCAATGTTCGGAGTTCCTCTTCGTTATTTGCAAATCCTGAACCGAGCCCACCGAGAGAAAACGCGGAACGAGCCATCACCGGATACCCGATCTGCAATGCTGCAGCGATTGCTTCATCAACTGAGGACACCGCTGCACTTGGCGCTACTTTTTCTCCAATTAAGTTAATTTTCTCAGCAAAGATTTTTCTATCTTCAGTATCCACAATAGATTGAATTGGTGTCCCCAAAACTTTAACATTATACTTTTCGAAGACCTTTGATTTTTGTAGTTCAACGCCGCAGTTTAAAGCAGTTTGCCCACCAAAGGTCAGAAGAACCCCTGTTGGTCGTTCGGCTTTTATTACCTGCTCTACATATTCTGGCGTTATAGGTAAAAAGTAAACTTTGTCAGCCAAGCCTTTTGATGTTTGTACAGTTGCTATGTTGGGATTGATTAAAACGGTTTGAATTTTTTCTTCCTGCATAGCTTTTACTCCCTGGGATCCTGAATAATCAAATTCACCAGCTTGACCGATGGATAAGCCTCCTGAGCCTAATATTAACACTTTTTTCGGTTTATCAGGAAGAGTTGGAACATATGTTAATTGCTCGGTTATCATGTCATCTATGCAACAAACAGTTTTGTCTTTGTACGATTTGACGCTTTTTATGAAAATATCGAAAAGGCATTCTAAATCAGTAGGGCCAGCTGTATGTTCAGGATGGAACTGAACACTAAAGAACGGTAACGACTTGTGAATTATTCCCTCGTTAGTTCTATCGTTTTCGTTGGTGAATAAGATTTTCCAATTTTCTGGTAATGTTTCAGCGTCTACAGCAAATCCATGATTTTGAGAAGTCATAAAACACCTTTTAGTAGCGCTGTGGGTGCAAGGCAAGTTATGGCCTCTGTTACCGTAACTGCAACCAAACAAAAAGAAACAATTGTAACGCTAAGTTAAAAGTCTAGAGTAAAACAGTAAGTTTCAATAATACCTTGTTTTATATGTTTTGCAGCCAGCTGCAGTCGCTAGCAGCTGATGACCCAAACATATACCGAAGACTGGTTTTACGTTGTTCTTTTTTTCAATAACTTTCTTTAAATTTTCTACGACTTTCTTACACATCACTGGATCGCCAGGGCCGTTGCTTATAAACAATCCATCGAAATCTTGCGAACCTAAATCATAGTCCCAAGGTACTAAAATAACTTTAGCGTTTCTTTTTATTAAGCATCGTATCTGATTGAATTTTAGACCGCAATCCACCGCCATTATTGTTACTTCACCATTGGGGTTATAAATTTTAGGTTTCTGAAACAAACGAAATTAAATATCAGTAATGATAGAAATTAATAATTCTTCTAATGTAAATCAATAATGAATGTACCTTAGTCGAAACTTCAGCAACAAGATTTCTTTCGTTAGGATCTGATATCGGCGGCAAGGGTGCTGTAGGTGGAGTGCCTTGTACGATGCGGCCAAGCATGATACCCTCCCGCAGGCGATGCGTGAGGGCGCGTGTGTCGATGCCGCACAAGCCAGGAACACCGCGCTCTCGCAACCACGCCCCTAGCGAGCGTTGTGCCCGCCAGTGACAAGCATTACTACTCACTTCGCCTACAATCAGACCGGCAGCCCAAATCCGCTCCGATTCAAACCATCTGTAATTATTTGAAGTAAATGTAACAACCTTACACAAATCTATGACTTGCAGCAAAGGTAGTTAATATTGTTTTTTTACAATAGGAAAAAACTGCATACTACCGAGGTATTCCGTGCTCGTCGCGCTCTTCTTCATTAGGCACTCCGTAGTTGCCGACTAGTGGATAGGTGAGCACTAGCAGTTGAGCGTGGTAAGAGGGGTCTGTCAGGGATTCGGGATAGCCCACCATGCCCGTCTGAAACACTGTAAGGGAGATACTTACAATGGCTTTCTAAAGGCGAGAACTCGTTGGTTAGTGTTGTGCCTATTAAGGCTAGCCATTTGATAGTTACCGACTTCCCCCTCCATTGGGACTTGAGCCCCGAAGCTCCAGCCTGTATGCACGGAGCCATCAGCGAGGATGAGGCTACACGGTGGTCCCAGCTCCGATGTCAGTTCCTTGTTAGTCATTGTGCTGAAAAAAAAAATGAAGGTTAAGTAATTATAAGTATAAATTTCTTACTATAAATGTTACATTAAAATTAGATTCAGCTCAAATATAAGGTAATTTCTGATAAGAATTGTATCAAAGATGCATTGCTTAAAATCATTGAGACTGACGTAAATTTATTTATCATAGTAATGAAGATGCTGAACATATTCGAGTCTAAAACACATACTACTAGGGCTTACGCGATTCTGTCTGCTTGTTAACCTTCTTTATCTTCTTTTGGTAGTGTCAAATTACCAATATTAGATTACATAGTATAACCTTAGACGAACATGAATTTCAACCCGGTACCGCTAGTTTTGAGCAAACCGCTGAACCACTTGAATGTCCTGTTTAACTCGTCGTTCTAATAACAAATACAGATAACAAAAAATATGCGGAAATATTGAACTGTTATCTTTAAAGTCAAGGAATACTTCCGACATAGTTTCTAAATTATTTAATGTTTGTGCGTATTTTTGTTCCCACTACAGCAACAGAACGTACAAAATACGATTGTGATTTTTTAAAGAATGATATTTAAGAGTACCGATCAACTTTTATGAGATGAATTGATGCACCTCCAAGGTCTATTGGTACAAAGTTTGAATGATCAACACCATATTGACCGGAAACATTCAAATCTATTTACTAATTTGCGTATATACAACGACATTTGAAGTTAGTACTCCATCATAAAAATATACTTGGTAACGTGTACCAAAATAGTATAAAAACAAACGTTGTAATTATAACTTTTACAATTATGAAAACATTAAGTACCTACATTACATCTAGATTTTAGTACGTAAAATACACGATTAATTAGTAATAACATAAAACTCTAAACTGTTTGTTTAATTTTTTTTTCAAACCGAAGTATTAAGTACATGTGAATGATTTTAAAGTTTGTTTTAAAAAGTTTAGCGAGATCGTAGCAATACTTACTTAAGTTTTGAGGTTCTGTTTGACGACCACGTGGTAGTTTACGAGTTCCGCGAATACGACCAGCTTATTCGCGGTCCCCGCAGCGACTGGCTGGACTGGATAAATGAAACGCCACCAACAATGCCCCGCTACAGCTATGTTATCAAAGCGTCATCGTTTCAAGTTACTGACCTCTCTTACCCACACATAACAATAGCTATAGGTTGTCTCACTCGACCAACATATGCAGAGATGCCATGCTTTTAGTTCGTTCTATATTCTTCGTACTTATTAACTAAAGAGTTGGTGCACATGAATGGCAAACCTTTAGGACGTTAAGACTTAAGTTACGAACTGTTTAGTCTGTCGCATAAAATGAAATTAATGTTTTCCTTGGCAAACTTCCATTGTTCTTGTTTGTTTTTTAACGCAATACGTGTGTCGGTATCATGTAGTAAATCGACATAGTTAATCGATCACATTTAGAAGAAGAAATGATTCAACTTGATTCAATTTACTGTCCTATTTCTTACGTGTGAATTGCCTAAATAAGGTCTTCGAACAGCTAGGAAAAATTTGCCAGTGTCGGACTAGGACCAGATCCAGATAGACTTATCTACATTTAATTTGATAACATGAATTTTGTATTTAATTGAGGATTGATTGAGTAGTACTCAGTAATTCCGAATGTTTCAAATTCGATAGACGCTAGAAGTTTCAACATTTCGTGAAACTTACCTTCCTGTGTCCTGTAGACTGTAAGCTGTTCTCTCAAACTAACAATTTAACTAAATTTAATTGACAAAAATGGTGACATATCATTACTGATCGTTGGTTTAGATCCTCTCCACACAGACTACCGCCAACGTTATTATAATACCATTTGTTTATAACATATTTTGGGTTTGAATTAGGTGTTACAAACTAACCAATCTGTATCAATCAACATTTATTTTATTAACAACTTCAATTGCAAATGTATCTATATACAAATTTAAGCTATGGTAATTTGCACAAATATGCACCCTTTCTATCTAGAATGGGTGTATCGATGAATTGCATTGTCGTTTGCTTTGGCACGTCTGCTAACTCTAGCACTGAGATGATGTTGTCCCCTGTTCGGAGCCACACGCCGGGTACGTAAAGAGTCACCTGAGGTCCCACACTGGGCCAGTAGCGGCCCAGGTTGTTACCATTTATCCACACGTAACCCTGAAATTAATTATAATTTATAACTGGTGGTCTGCGTAAACCCTTTAGGGTTCTCCTATCTAAGAAATAGCAAACATTTGGAAACGGTTCTACAAAAAACAAACGAAAAGTTTTTCCATAAAATTAATAATAATGTCGACTTTTACATACCTTTCCCCAACCGGTGGTATCTAAATATGTATCTAATATTTTCACATGACTCGGTATGTGAAAGAACGTTTCAAAAACAACGGGACCTTCCTTAGGATCTATTTCATCAGTTTTAAAACTATGTATTCCTACGGAATTTAAGGGATAACCAGTCACAGACCATTTGCCGTCGAGGACTTTGCCATTGTATTGTACTGTGCTAAGGATACCCTGAAACAAAAAAAGGTATCAGGTAAAAGGGAGGTAACGTTTACTTCTTGATTTTTTTTACTAAAGATAGAATTAAAACACTGCTAAATGAAGTTTACGGTTATTTCACTGTTATAAGGCAAATCTACAAAAGTGTAAAATGTATTTTTAATTATTATTTGTTTATAATTGGAAGGAAACTATAGAGTTAATTACCAAGGAAAAAAAATTGCAAGTGCTTTTAAGACGCAATATTATTACATGATGTATCATTTGAGTATACTCACTTTGTAGTCATGAAGGCGATTACCGTAATTGATACGTCCTTGGTTTTCCACCAGTAATGACAGCGTCGATCCTGGTTTACATCTCAAATTGACAGTGGTTTGCTTGCAATTTCTATAAAGAATTCCTTGTAATTCCTGAATAGTAATAATAATGGTCTAATAAACAAATAGCCTTCTATTATTTCATTTGGAAACAAAGAATACGAAGTCGCTGTTTGTGTTTTGATGCAATTAAAAAAAACATTCAATCTTTTCCTTACTAATACATTTATCTTCATAAACTCACATAAAGTTATTTTTAATTTTTGTATTTCTTTTTTAATAAACACATACTAAAATATCTAATGATATTTAGGCGCTGGAGCGTATTATATAAAAAATAATCATCAAATTTTACAATAACTTACTTTGTCAACATAAACATAAACTGTGTCACGCGGCTTCGTAATTATTAATTCTCCGCTTGTATCATTCACTATTGTTTCATAAAGTAATAATCCAGCTCTTTGTCTTAAAGACTCGAACGTCGGTAGCTTAGAGCCCCTCACTTCATCGTACTTCTTCCCTAAATGACTGCGTCCGTTTGTACTTAGGATGCTCCCTTTTGGTTGTAGATTTACTTCACCGTATGCTGCTTTCTTAGATACCACTGGGAGTGGTATGCTCTTTACATCTGGATAGTACTGGTATGAAAAAAATGATTACTGCCATTAGTTTATTAAGCTTTGCGATGTAAGGTTTAGCGTCAAAACAATGTTTTTTCGTTTAAACTATTTTAATGATCATAAATTGACTTATATTATATTAAAGTAACTAACATAAGACTAAAAATACTTTTAAAAAGTTCTTATAGTTACATACTTTTCCTAATGTGTCTCTTATGAGATAGTATTTTTCTGTTGGATCTCCAGCTTCTGTGAGTGGAGCATCGTAGTCGTATGATGTTATATCAGGTAAATAAGATCTATCATAATTGGCACCTGAAATTATTTCAAATATTCGTCAACACCGTAAAAATAAATGTAATTTCACTAGCATTGAGGTAAGTAGCATATATGATCTTCCAGACTATCCTCTACATCTATACCAAATTTCATCGAAATCCGTTTAGCAGTATAGGCTAAAAACTCTAACAAACATCCATCCATCCATCTAAACATTCGCATTTATAATATTATATTAGGTATGAAAAGTATGAAGTATGATTTACGATGTCTCAACTATCAGTTTTCTCTTCGTGGATCGATATTTCGCATACTAAGCTAATGATTAAATTGATTAATACTAGAAAAAAAAAAGAGTGTAATTTTTTTACAAACCAGAAGTGAATTCGAAGTTAGAACCACCAAAGAACATGTAAAAGTTGACACTGAATTGGTTGTCCAACAAGACGCGAAGTGTTTCCACTAGATGGCGTCCCGATATTTGCTGCAGCGATTCATTCCAGTGTGTGAGCCAGCCGGAGTAGTACTCAGAATTCATCAGCGGCCCGTGCGGGAAGTAGCGCCGGAACGTTCTCTTTGCTCTGCCAACATCTGAATAACTCTGGAGAATAAAATGTGAAATTATTATTATTAAATTATTAGTTAACGCGGATCAAATTGTTCAAACTGGGAGCTCGATTTATAGTCAGAATTAGTTACCGCTCTCTAGATGTCGCTGCGGCAATATTATAAATATTATGTGGATTTTATGATTCAATAAATTGAGTTTTGATCGACAGTATGGTAGTTTTATCAAGTGCAGTTAATACAAATGAAAATGTGTGTAATCAACGCATTCTTGCCACAATATTCCCAGTATTCATTAAACCAGGTTAGCGATCAAATTCAATGCTGCACTGGAATAATGTAAACCGGGCATTAGGAACTTACACCAAAATCAATAGTAGGCACGGCGCCAGCAATGGAGCCGCTAAGAAACATGGAAGGGTCGGTGCCATCGGTCGTGTACAGCAGGGATTTATTTCCTACGTGCTCTAACAGTATATCACGAACTGCTCCCATATAATTCTTGTCTCTTCCATAACTACCGTATTCATTTTCTACCTGTAAATATAAGTTGTTATAAATTTATAACGTTTACATAATTATGAGTAACTAATAACATTTTGTTATTCCTGTAATTAAGAAATTGGAAATATGTTATTTTAACGTACCTGAACTAATATAATTGGGCCGCCATTTCCAAGCAATAATGGTTTCAAATAAGTAAACAGTTTCGCCATCCAGACTTCAGTCTCATGAATAAAATCTGAAACAATAATAAAATCATATTACATCTATATTCTAATTGATTTATTTGTTTATATTAATATTGAAATGTTTGATTACAACCTTTATCAACAGTACGGAGTTTTATATTGGGATATTTGCCAAGCAACCAGTACGGCAATCCACCCTGAAAAAGAAAGCATTTAAAAACCATTTCAATTTAATCAATTTGTAATATGTTAAATATCTATTATTAAAATTATTGCAGACAGTACCAGTTAAAATCAGCACTATTGAGACAAAAAAAAATATAGTTAATTCTCTCTCTGTGCGAAGTCTTAGTCTAAAGTTCATTCTAGAGTTTGCATAAATAATATTTAAGAAACAAGTTTTAACTGAAAATTCTGTTTTAACTGTGACTGCTATTATCCAAAAGCTGTAAGTCATTAGACGATTATTTGTGTCTCGTAGCAGTAGTAAGGTATCAGTCATTACGTATGTCTGAATAAAAATTGGTACCAAATCTCTCTCAGCGCATATATAAGGTCCGGGGCGCAGTAGCACGTGTAAACCCTCCTCAGCTGCGATCTGCACAAAGCGGGCGACGTCCCGGTCCCCCTCAAATATGTACTGCCCTTCCTCTGGCTCATGGTAGCTCCATTCAACGTACCTGGACAATTAACATAACTAGGTCATTCCAATGAAGGTACGCAAGGTCAAGTGTGTTTCTAAACTACGCGATTACGCGCCTCGACCTATCTCTTATTATTATCACCTATTTAATGCATTGTTTGTAAAAACAAAACACTAAAGGAAAAATATCACCATAAAGTCAATAAATATTAATTAATGTCAATAAATTCTACTAAATGCTACAGTTTTCCTGTTTAAAACTTGTCTTACTCGTAGTTATCAAAGTAACTTTCGTAGACAGTTGAGTTCAATAAGTGAAATATATCTTTA